GAATGCCCCAGATTTTTGCACATAAGACCTCATACATCTCATTTTGTCTAGCCAGAACATGAAGAACTCTCAATAAGCTACATCTACAGTTGGCCAAAGTTGCTTGGCCAGTTCACTGTCTACCCCTGGAGTTCCTACATACAAAGTTCTAGTTCTCCAGGGCAGCATCCAAATTCTTTACTTAACAAAAAACCCCACCCTCCTTTCTGAAGTCTCTCATCTCATTCACTACATACTTTCCAACTTCTACAGTAGTCTTACAAACAAGAGCCATTCACCAGAGCAGGGTTACCTAACTTTTAAGCCCTGGGGGCCTACATGCTGTCCAGGCTGTCAGGGGAGGCCACACAGATGTTCACCCCCTGCCTATTGCATCATGTGGGCAACACCCCCATTGCTATACTGGGCACCCGTGAGCTGCCCATGCTGTTGCACTGCCCCACCCCCTTGGGGCAAAGGCAGAAAGTGGCAGTTGGAAGAAGAGGGAGCCTGGAGACTGGCTGCTGTTGAAGCCAAAGCAATGACAGGGTGCAGTAAGCACCCGAGAGCCCAAGGCCACACACCAACTCCTTTGGTTGCCTGCAGGCTGCATCCAGCTCACATCTGATAGCCCTCAGAGTAGAGTGGTGCAACAGCCTGGGGGCAGGGGAGCTCCTGGCACACGGCACATCTCTTCCTTTGTGTGCAGTACTGCAGGCATAGCCCCCGTTACCTTCATTTGGGCTGTGACCCGAGGTTGGGAAGTGCGGTTCTAAAAGAATACAAAAAGTCTTAAAATGAGTGCTTTCATACGAAGAGATCACTACAACAAACCCACGGTTATGAAAAAAGCATGTGCACCACACTTACTCATCCTGGCTAAGTACAGACAGTCAAAAAGCCCAAGGCTGAATTGATTCAATCTTTGCAGGTTAGTCTAAACTACGTAGATTGAACTGATAAGCAGGTGAACATTCACGTTTGATTGTAGAAATGCAACCACATGCCTGCAGTTGCTCAGGCCAGAAGCTGGGGCGGGGCACTAGTGCATGCCTCCCTGCTTGGCTGGAGCAGACAGGTTGTGCCAAGGGTAGCCCATCCATCACCACCTGACCCGCGAGGATGGGGGGGGGGGGGGGGGAAAGAGGCAGGGTTTGCAGGGGAGGTGCAAAGCATCCTGGGATACTGGGGGACTGTACGCCAACTTGAATCTGGAGGGGATCTGGGATAGAAGTTCAATAAACTGAACTAACTTAAAATCGGTTAAGTCTGATATTACATCCATCCAGCTTCATCTTAAAGCGGTTTTGGCCATTTTGAAAGCAGTTTGTGTCGTGTTACAGATTTTAACTAGTTTCCAATCGCTTATACCAGTTTGTGTGTAATTTCTGTCCCTAACACTGCAGACCAGGTCCTCTGAGGCAGGTACTTGTAGGGGAAGGAATTATGCAAGTAAATATTTTTATCCATCAACATTTTTCATGTAATTTAGAAGGACATTTCTAACAGGGATAGCAGCACATCCTACTGATCTATGATTGTACACCATTTCCCCATTTCATTAGTCAGTGCAGACTAATGCCAACCATTAAACTATCTGGGCTTAGCTTTTCAATACTGCCCCATGCCAATTTATTTTGGTAAAGCTTAGCTTTAAGGCAATTTGTACTCTAAGAAAGCAGAGGGTATGGAGATGGGGAATGGATGGTACGGAGACAAACTGAAAACCAATAGATTAATTTAATAGATTACAGGCACCCCACGAAGGTTATCATCCTTGAAACCTGAAGGGGAAAAACCATCAATAAAGCTGTTCTATTACTCACTATAGTGTGTTTTCAAACAGTGTAGTACAGATCACTAAAATTCTCTAGCAAATCATTTTCTGGGAATCCTTTTTTCATTAATGTTTATCTTCAACTAAGTTTACATAAAAAGGCGGATAGAAAAATTATAATCTATAAAATTTCACATCAGAAAAAAAATCTGAGATTTTGAAAGAAGCGTCTCAAAACCGGAAGCCACATATGCAGAATCATTTACACATTTATTCACAATGTGGTCAAACAGGTAAAAGTTCTTCCAGATGGTGTTAGCAGTTAAAGTCTTAAAAGTAAATGCTATCCAAAAATCCTAGTTCACCGCCTACTGATCATTTAAAACTATATATATTTTTATATTGCAGAAAATTTGCATTACTATACAAGAAAGCCATTCTTTAAGAATAAAAGTTAAAACGTTTTTCTGACTTGACAGGACAGACAAGACAAGAGAGAGGAATCTGGATTACAACATAAGTGCCAAGCTTGATACCCAATGTGCTTATGAAAAGCAAAAGGAAGTGGAATGCCTCAACTTAAACCAAGGTAAGCCTTTCAGTTTCTTAGAAGCAGAAATATATTATCAGCTTTTCAATTATTCTAAAACAGTGGTTCCCAACCTTTTTTTACCACGACCCACTGCTGGAAGCAGAGTGGTGCAACAGCCCGGGGGCAGGGGAACTGCCACACAGCGGATCTCGTCCTTTGTGCGCAGCGCTGCTGGCATTGCTCCTGTGACCCTCATTTGGGTTGTGACCCAAGGTTGGAAACCGCTGTTCTAAAAGAATGAAAGTCTTAAAAATGTAGTGATGTCTTCATATGAAAGCTCTCAGCAAGCCCAAGGCTATGAAAAAAGCACATGCACACTACGCAGATTAGAGTTTAAACATATTTATACATACTTGTTTGAACTACAAGTGTTTGGAGAGTTTACCTTAGAAACAAGCACTCTGGGAGTCAACAAATTTGTCCTGAACTTTGGAGTGTCCAGACAAGCATGCAGAAGTGTCTCGCTTAATTAGAATTAACTCAAACATTAACTCAGATTAGAATCTAATGCAGGCTCCTTGAGCCTCGTCTCTACTGAAAGAATGGAGACAGTTCAACAAGTGAAGACTAGAGGCCTTTCACTACAATTTTAGCAAGCATTCTGCATAAACGTGTAGTTTTCACATGTTAACAAATAAAAATGAACCACAGACTGTCTCCCCAGCATGGCAGAGACAGCCACGTAATTTAACAGATCCTCCAACCCAAACTGGTAAGCATTTTGCCTTAAGCTTAGGAAACATTAAACCAAATGATTTCCCCATTCCAGCACCAGACCAGGTTAAGACTTTGAGCATAAGTGTTTTAGTTCAACACATGCTTGTTTGCCCACACATTTACTTATAGACAAAATCTTAAGCTAACAGAGAAAACACCTGATTGTTGTAGTGACTACAGAAGCCAATATAAAACAAAGTTGGACTGGTTTAATTAAGGAATTATTTCAAGACTGATTTAGTGTAGTGCAAAAAAGTGCATGGACATCACTCTTCCAATTTAAAATGGGCCCAAGTTCTGTCAAAAGCAAAAGTACCTATAAGCTTTAATTTAAAAAAAAGGAGAATAAATTGTGCATTTAGACATGACAAAGAGAGATAAAGAAGTCAGAAAGAACGTATCATGTCTACCATCTTATTCAGTGACATATACTGTGGCCTTGTAGAAAGAAGGTATAGAATGGAGCAATGAGAAGTGCATGTGCACATAGCAACTATGAAAAGGGAGTAAACCTATGAGAGGCTAGAGACAGAAGTTACATAAACTGGTATAAGTGATCAGAAACCAGTTCAAATCTATAACAGAACAGAAGTTCAATGCACATAAATTGCTTTCAAAATGGCCTAGACCAGTTTAAGAGAAGCCTAGATGGATGTAGTATCAGACTTAACTGATTTAGGTCAAATCAGTTTATTGAATTTCTGTCCCAGTTTCCCTCCAGATTCAAAACAACTCTGTCCCCAGCATCCCAGGACGCCACGCACCTGCTCCGGAAACACCTCCTCACAGGGTGAATGGGCCAGCTTTGTCCCAACCTGTTTATTTCAGCCGAGCTGGGAGACGTGTTCTACCACCCCCCAGCTTCTGGCCTGAGCCACTGCAGACATGCGGCTATATTTCCAGAATGAAAAGTGAAAGTCTGTTCACTTGCCTATGGGTTCAATCTATGCAGCTTAGACTAACCTGCAAAGACAATCAATTCAGCCTCAGGCTTCTGACTGTCTGTATTTAGATAGAGAAAGTACCTCCTTTTAGGAGGCTGCACTGGGTTTAAGTCAGAGGTGGGCAAAATGCGGCCCGCCTAGCCATTCTATCCGGCTCGTGGGGCCCCTAAAAAATAAATTTAGAAAATTGATACTTATCTCACCCTGGCTGCATGTCATGTGGCCCTTGGTGGTTTGCCAAAACTCAGTAAGCAGCCCTGCACCCAAAATAATTGCCCACCCCTGGTATAAGTTATAGCTACTTAACCAAAAAAGGTCACTTTCATTCCTCATTAGCCCACCTTCCATCTGCAGAGGCAAGCTTCATTCATTAGCCTATTTACACACCACTATTTACAGGTTCATTCCAGTTTCAGTTTTATTGCTCCGACAACTCTAACGTTATGTTAAAACTCATTCAGGGATCTTCCCTCATCTAATTTTGCAAACTGTTATGTAATGTTTCCAGGGCTCCATTATATACCACTTCAAAACAAAAATAAGTAAAAATAAAGTAACTCAGGAAACTATTTTCAAGTTTGCACACATTTAAAAAAAAAGTCATTAACAACAAAATTACAATGAATACATGAACTCATTTCAGAGTCAAAACTTTACCTGGTGTTTTGATGTTCTCCTGTGTTAAACAGTCTAGCAGTAGCCTTGTAAAAATCTCTCTCTTCAAAAATATTTCATGAGTACTGAAAAGAGACATACAAGAGGACAAGTTTTAGTATTCTAAGACAGCCAAGAGTCTTGATTTAAAAATTATATTTCAACATGCTAAAGGCCCACCAGAGCCAAATCAAAAAGGGCTACTATGAAGTTTCATTTCTAAGCAATAAGAGTACCTATAAAAGTTTAGTAAAAAGTTTACTGGGTTTTATGCAGACTAAGTGGAAAAAACAACAAAACACACACACACACACACACACACACGTTTAAACAGCTGCACCAAAAGCAGTCTTAATTTGTTACCTGTTGTGCATCATCATGGTAACTATAGGTAACCCTGAACTAAGGGTCATATAGGAGTTAGTTCAAAATCAATAGTTAATACATGTAAGACACTGCATGCTTCAGTTAAATAGTTTAGGATTTATATTACCTTGTTTCAGGAAAAGAAAAAAAGTTTAAAAAAAAAGATTAAAAATACCTTAGAATAGCTGTTGAGAGATCCCAAAGTATTCAAACAAAGCTATATGCTGGTCTTACATACCTCAAAAGAGTTCAGACAGCAGGCCTAGAAGCTTCCACTTTTAGTAAGAAAATATGGTACTACAACACACCATTTTTGTCAAAAAGCCAGTTGCTGTGGCTAACTGCTGTGGTAACAGCAGTTTCCATATTATGCCCTCGTTTTTGCCATTTAAGCCTCAACCAGGCAAAAGCAAAAGTCTGCATGAGCCAAAGGGAGCAGAACTATGAGGAGGCTTGGCTCTCTAGCTGCTGTTGCTAATCTGTTACTTATTACCAGGGATCCTGGTTCTCTCTCTCTCTCAAAAAAAATTCCCAAATTCTCTGATAAAAAAAACAAAACTCCAAAATCCATGTTTTTCTGCAATTAAAATGAAGTGTGTACGTGCATCAGTTGAACACAATGTTTTATTGATATATTTACTATTTTCAAGCGATTTGGAAGCCTACCAATGCCTCAATCATTATATTAAAATAAATTCTAATACCTATATATTCTGACATTTGATTGTTGGGTTGTTTTTTTTGTCATGGAAAATTAGAGCTCCCCCCCTTCCCCCAGCTCACCAGGACACAGGTCCAGCTGCAACTGTCCCCCCCTGCTGCTTTGTGGTGCTGAGCATCCCTGATATGTCCTGCTCCTGCAATGCCACTCACTCCTGACCCACAGCCCCCTTCCCCCGTTCAGCTGGTGCCCCTCACTCCTGACCCGCTGCCCCCACCCTAGGCCCTAGCCCCCAGTGTGTAGGAAAAAGGGTGGGTATGTTAAGGGGGGCATAGGCACAGATGCATGGGGGGCATATGCTCCCTCCACCCCCCCGATTTCTGTGCCCACAGTGGGGCACAAGGCTGCAGATTGGCCGGACTAGCTCCAAGACGAAGCTGCCTACGTGGCCCAGCGGTCAGTACCTGGAATGGAAGGGGTGCCATGCTGCCATGGTGAGGCGCCTTCTGCCCACCCAGCAGCAGCAGGGGGACCACCACCAAGCTGCTGCCACCCCTGCTAATGGTGCCTCACCTTGGCAGCCGTGGCCATGCAGCGCTCCCTCCCACACCAGGTCCTGCCATCTGAGCCATAGAGGTGGTCCTGCCTGGAGCTGGTCCAGCCAGACCACAGCCTGCACCCTGAACCCTGGCCGCAACACATTTGTGCTACAGTTATGAAGTCAAGCTTGACCCTCATGCTGAGAAGAGTAGCATTTTCTGGCCATAACTGATGCACCACAGCTGGTTACAAACCTAACTGATGCAAACTAGGATTTGTATAACTCTTACAATTTCTAGCTTCACAATAGGGACTGACCACTGCCTCCAGTGTTTTGCAGCTGGGACAAAAGACCAGTCTTTAAGGTTGATGGAAGTCAGAAAGTTTCCAGAACCTTTTCCCCTCTTAGTGCATTTTATTAGAACTGCACAACCTTGATGACTTGGTAAAAGAATAAGTGTCTTGTAATCCATCATCCAGGAAGCAGCCCTGTTGCATTCTTTCCTGACCCAGATCTTGCAGACACCCTCATCTGTAAATAACCCACAGGAAGGTAGACAACAGTACCAACACTGGAAGTATCCACCTAACACTGATTAATAAGCTTTATGCTACAAGCAATTTTACACTGTGGATACATGAAAGCCAAAGCATAAATTGTCTTTCTTCTTGCAGGCAGCGCATTGAAAACCCCCACTTAAAGTGCAGCTGCGATCAGAAGAAGAAAGATGTTTGGTTACCTAAGAAACAGGATAATGAACGTAAAAAAAAATAAAATGAAATAAAAAAAAATTATTTTTTTTATATATATATTCTTTTTTTTTTAATTTATTTTAGAATGCCTTTACATAGAAGTTAATAGCATGTTTCAACTGGAATACTATTTATTCATTGTACTGGTCACTTTATCTCAAAACACAATACTGCAGAATTAAGATATGGTTCAGACAAGGGCAATGAGTGATCAAAGGCACAGTAAAACACTCAGATGAAACAGTCCCTCCATTTCAGAAGGAGTCTACTAGGATGTCACACACCTCATAAGAATAGGTAAAATAAATAAATAAATAAATAAAATGAATAGTATAGAAAAAGCAAATTATCTCTATTCCCTAACAAGAAGCTGCTGACATATACTGAAATTAGGAAAATAAAATTAAATACTTTCCCTCTTGGCCCATAAAAAAAACGAAATTGAACTGTGAACCTCACTGCCACATGAAGCTTGAGACCAAGGATTTAGTATTCAAAGGGAAATTATACAGTTAGTGGGATAAAGATTATTCAGAATTCTAACGAAGTTGTTTGAGTGACAGATCTTGTGTTTTAGGGCCTAAACTAAAAAGTGTAAGTCATCTGGGATTGATATTGCAGTTCAAACCATTCTCTGAAGCATCTGACAATGGCCATCCCTAGACAGGACACTGGACTAGATCCTGGATACATGTTTCAGTACATTAGTTCTCTGAATTGCTCCATAAGCTCTTGTATGGCAAGATTCCTTAGATCTTGTTGGTTTGGGCACAGGACAAAAGTCATTAGTGGCATTACTAAGTTCCCCCACGATGTCTGATGAAGACCAGGGTTCATATTGGCATTAGATCTTCTCTAAAACAGGGAAGACATTTCAGATAAACTAGGAAGAGATTTTAAAAGTACAAACAGCTATTCCACACCAACTCTGTGTAGACACTATTATGGAATACAGGAAAATAGTGGGGAACCAGAACATTTTTCTTCCTAGTTATGTCTCAGGAAAAGGTTACAGCCCTATTCTTTATAGCCATATCACCATCACATCAAGGTTAAACTTCTTAATAGGACTCTACATTTTAAGTGTACTCAAAGATCAAACTAGTGCAGAAGGCAGCTAACCATTCATCAAGGAGTTTTCCTTGTCATCAGCACAGGATACTAGGGCTCCAAAATCTGCATTTCATCTTTGGTCACTGTTTGGAGTTAAATTTTTGACCTACAGAATTCTTAACAGCTTGAAACCTGCTTGCCAATGACTTCTCTCCCCACTGCCCCCCATCTCTTATTCCCACAACTGCATTCTCCTCCTTGCTATGAAATGCTGGACTGTAAGAAGTCTCACTCCTAGTTCTATTTGCTGTCCTTTACAACACTTGGCAAAAGCCACCTATTTGACAGCTTCAAGAGGACTTCAGGTTTATTCTACCTACTGTGATATTTCCCACCTGATTTGTTATTGTTGTTAGGTGTGTTATTCTGCTTGGTAGTATTGCTATAGAAATTGTAAATTCACCACCAGTACACCAAGAACACAATATTTTCTTAATATTTGAATTACAGAAAGACAACTTTATATTTAAGCAGATAAGTGACTGGTTAGTAAAATTATTTTTTCAGCATATGGAGCTTATAATCAACTTTCTGGGTACATCAACACGTGCAATTAATGCAAAGCAATAAGCCCGGAGTAGTTTGACCCAGAATAAACTACTCCTGTGCGCAGCATCTACATGAGCATCCAGGACAGCAGCAATCTGAGCCAAGGCAGAGCAGGCCCAGACTGACAGGGGGTACAGGAGAAGGGGTCAGCCCCAGGCAGCAGTGTCAGGCAGTGAAGAAGGTGGCTGGGGAATGAGGGCATTCAAAGTGAGGGGCCATGTGGCTAGGTGGCAGGAAGAAGTCTGGCCCCCGACTGGCTAGGCTGACCAGGCACAATTTACACTTGCAGTCAGCATCTACACATGCATTTAATCATAGTAAATCACCCCAGGGTAAGATAGTACTGTCCTTGACTGTACTGTTACACCAGCATAAATTAGTTTGAGGCCTAATACTATTTCACACAGACAGTGGTGCTTTACACTGCAGCTAATAAGTCTACTCTGTAGTAAAGCGCATGTGCAGATGTGGCCACTGTTACTGGTAGTTGCTCTAAGCTCCTTTTTCCACCCGACAATCCCAGGTGCCAAAAAAAAAAAAGGTGCCAGAATTCTTCTACTGTCAGGCTCAGCTTGGAGCTCCTCCTTTCACTTAACATCTGAATCTTCTTTACCCTCCCCTACTCTGGAAACAAGGATTTCATGAAAACGCCACAACCCAACTGTGTGGATATTGTTCCAGTGCTCTTTTACCCTGATATGGTCTTTGCCTTTCAAATTTCAGTACCTGATTGCATGTCAATTAGCATTCTCTCCACCCACCAAGTATTACCAGAAGGAATATAGCCTGCCAGTTACAGCATCTTCTATATTCTTCATGAGAAACAGGAGAGAGGACAATGAGCGGTAAGGAAACTACTGAAGCTGTCAGTCTGTAGACTGAGGAAGATAACAGTCCACTAGAATACATATGGAAGCATTTTAAATAAAAGATTCAGCTTTGCAGTAATGCTAGCTTAACTCCCACCTAAGCAACCTAGCAAAGGAAGATTTTTTAATCAGTGAATAGATTCCTGAGCCTGGTAAGGTACAGGAGCCTGGTACAGAACAGAATCCAGAAGGGTACAGGATCAATAAATGAAGGGCTATACATATGATGAAGGAGCAAGGCATACTCTTAATGAAGAAAGCGCATAGCAAATACTGAGCCCTTTAGACTATTTAAAGAGCTTGGAAAGCCAAAAGGGGAAACCCAAACGGCAATGAACTTGAAATCTTCAGATTTACCTCCATCACTTGAGTATCTCTAGTTACGATATCCAGGGATCCTGGTTTTCTCCGTTTTAAAAAAAAATTGCAAATTCATTGATAAACCTCCCAAAATCCACGCTTTTCCACAATTAAAATGAAACATCACTCGTTCATACACACCCCCCCCCTCTGTGCTGCTGCCCCCACCCCCCATGTTGCTGGGCCAACAGGGGGCGCCGCCCCATGGTGGTGCAGGGCTCCCAGTAGCGACACCAAGCCTCCCTGTCCCACTCTATCCTGCTGTGCTGGGTCCTGCTATAGGCAAGTGTGTGCATGCACATGTATGTGGCACCCCCATCTGATCACCCTCCTCTTGCAGGCTGGAACTCTGCCAGCCTGCAAGGGTAAACTCACTGTTGCCCACATCTTTTTCCCCTAAAAGGAAAAAATCCGCATTTTTCTGCAGCAAACAAAAAAAGATTCCTGGTGATATCCTATTCAACTGATCATTAATATTAGTTTTAAAACATTACATTGGCTCACCATCTACAGAAGAGCTAGCATGTGAAATCTGTTTATCCCCACTGTAATCACTAATGTGATTAGAGCACTGACAATCAAACTCCTAGGTCTTCTGTCAAAAAAGTTGTGTGTGTGTGTGTGTGTGTGTGTGTATATATATATGGACCTAAGTTGCAACAAGACGAAGGGTTTTTCATGGCCTGCTTGTGATGCACAGAGCCGATTTTGCAGGCATTTTCCAGCGGCCCAACCTTCACTGCTGATCGGCAGAGGGTGCCTTCAGTCAGGCTATGTCACTACTGCTTTTTGTTTTTGGTTGATTCCATGGGAAACTACGGCCAATTCTGTACTTCCTGGCGACTGTGGGCAATGCTGCTTTTCACAGTTTCCTCAAAATCCATGAAAACCACAATTTAGGTAGGTCCTTATTTACATACAATATCAACCCAATTATTTAAATCCCAAAAGGCAACATACAAAATTAGTCACTCCACATATAGCAGTTTTACATTCTGCTAGGTCTATTGAGTTGATATTTTATGATTCTATATTTAGTTTCTATATTGATCTTTCTAGAATTGCTGGATAGTTAGTACTGAATACATTTCTAGGAAACAAGAATTTATGTCCTGTTCCCCCGCCCCAAATAACAACTCTGGCCAGTTGTCTTTATCACAAAGTTGCTTGATCTTTCACTCAGAGTGGAACTGCTAACTGAAATACCAGAAGGATAAGCATGCCTGCATGTTATTAAAGGACATAGTGGAAAATTTCACAGGCTGACATCCAGAATGTCTGCGGTTCCTTTTCATATTTCTCTCCTCCTGCAAAGCAGTTATTAGACTAGATTTAAATCTATTTTTCATGAAGCTCAGAAATTTCCACTGCTTTAGAGATCTATAGAAGCTTTTTCAATAGCAAAGCCCAACGAACTTTAAATCCCGGATGCTGTGAAACTAAAAAAACCCCCATAAAATGTAATAATAATAAATTTTCAAGATCAATACAAATATAGACAACCAGATCAGAGTATCAGAAGGGATGTGCAGCCATTTTGAAATAAACAGCAAAAATACACAGGAGGAAGAACATAAGCATTTAGTCTATGATTATGAAAAGAGTCATTTGAAGGCCAGCTAGGGATCATATGATTTTAAGGAGTCTCAATGTCTTCCATTCAAAAATCTATGCACAATATAGAGCCTATGGAAGCTCCCTTTGTCAATATTTCTGTAAACTGTTCAATATAATAATTAAGGGTAATGGCAGACAGTCTGGGCTAAAGAGAGGTCATCTGGTTAATATTTATTTATTTAAACAAAAGGACAAACATTTTAAAACTTCCCTTATTTTCAGAGGTATACCCTATGTGTAAAACAAAGCTGATCAATTAAATTGAATATTAGCCCAAACAAAAAATAATAAATAGAAAGGATTTTTGCTGTTCTAAAAAAGAAAAAAAAAAAAGGAAGGGAACACAAAACACAAACAAAACCCCATATAGTTCCAGATTACAAGTTTTAATTAAAAAGCCAGGTTTTTTAAATAAAGCATAACAAAAATAAATAAACAGGTATCTGATTTGCAAACAAAAAGGC